GTCGCATTCACCGTGTGCAACCGCTGCCACCGCACACCGAGCCCCGCGCACGCATCCCGCCAATGAGCTGCCACCCGCGAACGTCGAGACCCATTCATTCAGCCACCTTTCACACGTCCGATGCCATTTCCCACATCCACGAAGGGCACCACTATCGACGTGCGAGCCGCCTTCGAACGCCGAACACACGCGGACGATTTCCCCGCCCGTAGGACTAAACCGTGTCGTGACCGTGCCTTGTTCGTCACTCTCCCCTTGGTGTTTGGTATATATTGCTAAACTCCAATATTACTATGTGATTATATGTACATTTGTTGAATATGTGGAATTATATGATTTATGTGAATTATTATGATAATATAAGATATTTTATGTATTGTGATATATTAGATCTTAGGGTTTAAATATGAAACCCTCATTATCTGATTTAATCTCATGGAAAACTCTTAGAATCTGAAACATTTTTGTGTCCTGGTCACAATAGTTTTGACCTTGTGCAATTTGGATTTATATTTTTCAAGTGATGAATTTTTGAAATTCATGTGGTTGCTGAAATTTATAAAATGTGTGATAAATTGTAATGTTGTCCAAAAATTATGAAATTTGGATATGTTTCTCCCAATGTTTAGTGACCTTGTGTAAAATTTTCATAATTTTTGGAATTCGTTGCTAGGGTAAATGATTATTTGTTTATTTCTGTAGAAACTTATAAAAATCCTATAAAATTGAGATCTTGATGTAAAAATCCCAGGAATTATAGGATTCATTATGTTAGGTTTTTGTTAGAATCATTTATCCTGCTGAAACTTGTAATTATTATCGTAATTCACATGTTCAATGTTTATACCTGGAATTTTTATATGTTGTTTCCAGCATTCTAAAGTTACTTGTGTAAAAATATTAGGTCCTGAATCATTCATTAGGTCAGTCATTAAATTCGTACTTGTTTTTGTTGAAAACTTGTTTTAATTTTATAAAATCACATGCTTTTGTGAAAGGTCTTAAACTTGGTGGTTTTGCTATGCTCAATAATTTTTATTATGTGTCCAAATTTTAGATCAAAACTCGTTGGTTAGCCAGGTCATCTCGAATATGTGATTTACTTGTCTTATTTTGCAAAAACTAGCTTATTATGTTTAAGTATGAATTTTATGTGATCTTTCATAATAATTGTTCCATGTTGATGTTTGATATGTACTTGTTATTTGGATTCGAACCCTCGGGTGGATTTTGAAGTAGCCCGATTATTACCCAGTTCTCGGACGTTTTTCCGAAACCGTTGACCCCAGTTGATACCCTTTGACTTTTGGTTGACATATTCAACCCCTATTTGACTTTTATGTGAATTTACCATACATGGTTTTGAGTCAAGTTGAATATTCCATAACTCCACGAGACTTTACCACGAGCCACTTAGTTGACGTGTTTCGACTAAGTTTGTGTATTCGTTGGATTTGTTGGTAATCGAGAGGCTATCTTGATTTCATGTAGGTTTTTTGAGTGTTGGCCTCACCACTTACTCGAGCCTCGCTTTTGTGTTTGTCGCTGCTTTCAGTGGGTATATTTACGTTGTATCCATATTTATCTCACTTGTTATTTCGTATAATTGTTCGTCTCGATAGCTGTTGTATGCGTGAGAACCCTAGTCTAAGTGTCCCGTCGATAGTGCCTTTGATGAATGAATAATCAGTGAGAGGTCACCTGCCCGTTGCATCTGGGAGGGACGCCTCGTGCCGTTGTGTCCGGAGGGGGAAAAACAACTCTACTATCTCCTGAAAAGGATCCTATGCCCGTTGTATTCGGGGTGGGAATGTTTCCTGTTACTCCTTGCTGATGTCTGATCGGAAGGTTGTTGTATGTATATAGGAGGTTTGCGATAGGGCCATATAGGGAGTTAGAGCTTGGATTCTACGCATACTTTACTTATGGTTTTGAATCTTTATGCGAAATATACGGTGCGGTATTGGTGAGCATGATGGTTTTGCTCAACCCCATTGTTGTTCCTCTTGTTTCCTTTTCCTATCTTTAGGTTCAGCACGGCTAGAAGCGGTGGCGAGAGACGGTCAAGTGATGGTCATTAATTGATGTGTCTTTTGCTTCCGCTATTATTATCTATGTCGGATTACTTGTTTTCATTTTGGATTATTTATGCTTCCGCCAGAACACCATGTTTATGTTTGGATGAACCGTAGACTCATGTTGAACTTTATGAATATTTTGGAATAAGTTGGTTTGATTTTACAACTGCTAGTTTATGCATGTGTAGGTACTGTATACTTGTACGTATTTGTTCATTTGTTATTAGTAGCGCTCGTTAATAATCAAGTTTTAAATTGGGATTTTGAGAAAAGTTAACTTTGATTTTTATAAATAAATTCAGTAAATTCTTTAAAATAAAACGGGGCGTTGCAGTTGCCTTTGTAATAGTGGAATTTGATGTGTTTGAACTGGATGGGCAATTATTCTGTGCAATTAGTTCCAAGCTCAAAATTTGTTATTGCTAGGAATTGTTGATGATTTTCTCTGGATTTTTGGTTTGATTTTGGGAAGAATTAAACTAGCGAAATTAACTTGCTGGAATGACCGATCGTGGGGGGAGGGGGGGGGGTAGGTTCTGAAATTCAATTTGCTTGGTTGGTGAAGATGGAGATGAAAATGGTATCTGTGGAGGAGGGGGAAGAAATTTTGGGGATGATGGGCAGGAGGCTGATTCCGCCATGGTTTGTGGTCGCCGCCAGGCGGATGTGGGCAGTTGTCCTAAAGGGAATGTGACGCCTCACTTTGATTTTAAAGAAATTTCGAACTTTCAGAAAAATCACTAAAACATTTTCGAAATTCATTTTTCGAAACCACTTTAAACATGGGCATTACTCAAAACATTTACATAGATCAAGTCGTGTCTGATCTCACGGGGATTCATTACCCGATATTCAAATGGATTTCATTATCCGATAATAAAATATTTATTCAGCTCAATACCACAGCCTGAATAACCAAATACTCACATGATATTCAAATACACACATAATCATGAATATCCAATCCAACCTTATTCAAAGCGCAATGAGTCCAAACATAGGGTTTTCAAAACAACCCAACTCTCAACATTTTCAAAACATAGGTTTGAAAGCATTTTCAACATGTCTATAAACCGACATAGGGTTCACAAGACCCAAATAACATGTTCAGAAAGCGGAAGCAAAATGAACAATAACATGTGACCAGCCCACTCGTCCCTTTCTCGTCATGCCCAAAATGTGAAGTAGTACCAGCCTGCCAAGGCCTCGCGTGCCGCGCCGTGCTGGGTGCCACGAGCTCGACAAAGAGTCAGGTCATGCGCGCATCGCGTGGCGACAGCCAGCACGCCGCGGCGCATCCCTCCTCCATGCCGCTGGGATCCATCGCGCTGCGGTACCAGGCCTTCTTCACGTCGTGCCCCACCATCACGCCGCGGCAGGTCTTTTCATCGCGCCGCGACCCTTCACCACGCCTAGTGCCACGGGCAAGCAGAGACCAGCGTCAGCCATCCTTCGCGCCGCAGCACGCAGCACGCTGCGACAGCCAGCTTCTTTGCGCCGCGCCAGGCCAGCACGCCGCGGAAAATGTCACCAGCGCGCCCGCGTCACTCTTTTCACGCCTATCTATAAATATGGGATCGCGATCAGAATATCACTCGTCGCTCAACCAGGTGAAAACCATAGGTCCCGAGAAAACACGACAGAAGCTCTTCTTCTCCTTCCTACTCTTTTCTTCTTCGTTTTTCCTTTTTTCTTAATCTTTCTTTTCATTTTTCTTCCTATTCTTCTTATTATTCAAGGATTAAGCTTGTAATTCAAATTAAACACTTGAAATTGTGATTTATTGTAAGTTCTTTCTTTATTTTTAATTCATGAATAATGGTTGAATTGAAAGAGATGATGGATTGTGTTGAATTAATTTTACTTAGCTAATTCTTGTTGCTATGGATGGAGATGATTGTTCTTGTTTAACGTGTATTCATCGGGCTTGAATTGTTGGTTCTTATATGAGTTGATATTTTATAAGGGTCTTCAATATCGTTCTTGAATTTTGAGAATTGTTGAAGGGTGACACTTCAACTTCCAATTGTTTCAATTGAATTTGGTTAATTCGTGCATGATGTTATTAATTCTAAACAGACTAGTGAATTAACCACCCTTTGGTCTAATTTAATCGACATTTAGAATCGAAAGGGGAGGAGTCGGTCGAAATAGGCTCGTGTAAGCTAGGCTTGTTCGTAATTGTATTGTCTAAGTGTTAAATGACTTGTTAATTTGTCGTTCAAGTTTGTTCTTTTGTTACTAAGAGTTACTGAGGATGAGTACTTGAACGAGCAGGTTATTCAAATCACTTAACCAACAATCTCTTGCCCGATAATTGCAATTCGAACCAAAACAGATATCCTCGATTCCCTAGCTTCTTAAATCCTGCTAGTTCGTTGTTGTTGCTTGCTATTTTTATTGCTTTATTTGAATTCTCGCAGTAATTGATAATTAGAACCAAAACCATCTCTGAATTAGTATGTTTAGGAGTTTTATTTCTTTTTATGTGGCTGAGTAAACGTACAACATAATCCGGCTGACCTTCCTCGAGAGACACGGCCCGATATTTGAATCTTTTGATTCTACTCCGAAAAAATATTTACAACAGGGCCCACGTCTAAATGGCACGCGTGGCCGGACAAGTGCATCCCTCCAAATTGGTGGGATATTTTTATCCCACTTTCAAAATGACTAATATGTCAAAAAAAATCCCACCTCAAAAGTCAGTATTATCCTTTGTTGGCCATTTTATTACACAATTAGCCAGATATAATTCAAGTATGTGCCATTCTCGCACGTGTGAAAGACGAACCCTAATCTCTCCCGCTGCTGAAGCTCAAGGTTCCTTTTGTTGTCTATAATTTTTTTTCTCCCTATTTTTCCGATTTCTTGAATCCGAATTAAATGTATGTTTGAAATTATTTTATGTCGTTCGGTCAGATGCAATTTTGTTGAAGTTCTGGCGGCCAATTCTCACTCATTGTAAGTACCAATTTTTCTTCAAAATTTTTTTTCCCAATATTTACGTAATCTCTGAAACATTTTTGGTTATGCTATGCATGCTTGGCATTCGTTCAATTTCGATGGGTTTTCGTGAATTTGTGGAGGCCTAATTCTCCTGCACTGTAAGTCTGTTCTTGTACATTTTTTTTTTTTTTTGGTTTGGTTTCTTGGCCGAACATCTGTACAATTGCGCTGGATTAATTTTACTGAATATCTGCTGAAATCATGATGGTCATGTTTTCTGGTGTTTTAAGTTTAATTGTTGGCCTTGTATTTGTTGTTGCAGTGGGTGTCTTTGCTTACATTGCACTTCCCGGTTCGCTTTTGTTAGCATTTTGGCTAGTAGAGGCTGATGTGTAACCATTTGTTTCAGCCATGTATTCTTTGTTTGAATCAAATCTGCTTGTGTAATCGGACAATGAAATCAGTTTGAATTGTGGTTCAAGAGTTTTAGTTCGTGCCTTTTTTTTTTTTGTATTTTGGAGTGATCTATAAATTGGTGGAAGACTATGATGTTCTTGCTATAGTTAATGTTGAATTGTGTCCAACAATATTTGTTTCATGGTTTTTTTCTTCGGAGGTTTAGATTTTTTATGCTCTATTCTGGCAAATTGATTGAGGTGCTTCAGTTGTTCAAGTTTCTCCCAGCTTAAATCCTTTTTGGCCTTTCATTCACCTGCTTGTTACATCTATTCTTTCTCATAAATATGGTCCTTGGTAAAATCTTCTATTGTCTTGTGTGAACTAATTTGAAAATTCTTTCATTGGGGCTGTAATAGCGTTCAGTATTTAGCACTTCTATAGTTCTCTATACTGCAGCATTTGTGTATCATTTTTAGCCCTCATCTGTAAATTCTAGTGCTTCTAAGTGAAGTTTCTAGAAAAAAAAATATCAAACGACGCAATGCACCTTGGGTCGCTATGGAAACAGCCTCCTTGTATAATTACAAGGGTAAGGTTTGCGTACAACTGACCCCCCAGACCCCAAACAGTTGGGAATATACTGGGTATGTTGTTGTTGTATTTGAAAATCATGCGCCTATTATTGCAGGTGTTAACAGTTATCGACGTGCTCAGGTGTCTTTTTATCTTTGTCCGCCCAAATCGCCACTGGTAGGTATGTGTGGATACTTTATCTTTGTCTTAACTCATTTTTTCTTTACAGATGACACTTTTTGGTTTTGTTATAATCTGAACGGTCTTGTTAGTCCTTAGTGCTAGTTGATCTAAGTGTTTGTGTTAGTTCAGCTAACTTCGTGTGTTAGTTCAGATTGGTGTCAACAATTTTTCATTGCATACATAATTTTTTGGTTTCTTGTGTTTGGTTTTTTGGCACTGTTATTTTTAAATTTTCTACCAAACCAAATGAGGTTTGTTAATCAGGAATGAGATAAGTGGTGCAGATTGATGCTTTGATTAGTAATTTGTGTTAATAGATTGACAATTTATTTTGTTACTTCTGAATTATTTATTCTATTATAGGTTAACTTACAAACTTTGGTGCCCTACTTGTAGTGAAACTTGAGACCTCCTTTGGGAAAATTTATATTATATAAGACCAATATAAGGACGTGTAATATTGAGACTCGAACAAACCTGTTTTATAATGTTAGTTGTGAAGCCAATATTCATATAAGACCAATATAATGTAGTGAAACCTGTTTTATAGTATAGGGATAATTTATGATGTAGTCAAAGTTGTTTTATGATGTTTGTTGATCATCCAAATGTTTCATTTCATGAAGAGAGTATCTCAATTCATTGAATATTATGATTATGTTTCTAATTTCTTCTCTTAAAATCGCAGCCCGTCACCATCAGCAATACTACATTATTATTCCTTCAACCTACCTTTGTGCAGTGATCCATTTTTTCCCATAAGTCACATTTAAAAATACAATTTTTTCTTTTGATTGAATATTTTTGCATTGCTAAAGACATAAACCATAGGACATAATTAATGCATGTCTTGTATGTTGTACTTTTCCAAATTGTTGTTCCCATGTTTGTTGTTTTGGTGGCACGTAAATGCTTATCCACTAGTCATTTCTAACACCCTGAAATTGAATTATTTGTTCTAGAATTATGGTGCCCATGACTTATTTTAATCAAATTGTGAATGAGGTTTATTCATCTACATTTGTAGATGGATTACGTCGGTGAAGAGTTAGCGATTGTTGTAACAGCCCAGCATCTAACCCGCTACAGAATATTGTCCGCTTTGGGTATACACCAGATCATTCCCTCACGGTTTTGCCTTTGGGAGCTAGCTCACCAAAACGCGT